AGCACCAGCACCACCACCACCATCACCACCAGCACCACCAGCACCACCACAACCTCCACCGCCACCACCGCTGATCTACGCACGTGTCGTATATTTTCCTTGTTATGATGATCATCTCCGTTTTCTTTTCGGTTGTCCTTTCGATATCTCATATGCCTATGACAACCCTACTCATAACTCTCACTATGATCACTATCACTATGACCCAGAAAGGCCACTGCTCTTGTAACTGCTGGCGTTCGTCACTTATCGTGCAGCTCTTGCTGAACAAAGTTACTTGCTTCCGTGTTTATGCTTATCCTCTCTTTCTGACAAAATTCGTTGAGTACTACTAGTGGTAGTACTGATGAATTTAATCATTGCGAGCATTCACTTTTGCTGAGGCTGTTGTATCATTCACGGAGATAATTCAAACTCGGGCTCGGACCCATATCAAGCATTCGGTCTGCCTGACATCTTGCATCTTGCTGGCTAGCACAAACGCTAACGCTGGCCGTCCCGTGGGAAGTGGTGGGCGCCTTTGCTGCAGGGGTAACAGATCTCCAGCCTAGAGCAGATCGAAACATATCGAAACTGCGGATTTGGCCGGAATCCCAGTGACAAGCCGAAACATTGCAGTGTGGTCTGAGCCTCATCTAGGATGAAGAACTGAACATTGGCGAGAGAAAGGAAAGTTCGCCTCACAGATGGGCTTGGCATGCATCAGTGCTGCTAGCGGAAGCTGCGCCCTGTCTGGCGAGATGCAGCTGGCGAGATGCAGGGTGCTTCTGTGATAAAAAGTACTCGACTCTAAAGACGACATGGCACATCAAGTGCGTCGAGGCCCCTTGAAACGAATGTACTGACGTGACAATTCAAAAGCATCCCGCGCGACAGCTTGGTCCAAAGGTGTCCACATCCCTTTTGTGTGCGTAGGAGAGACGTCCAATCTAGGCATCTAGGCACTCAACACGAACAGATAACATGAGCCGATGAGCCACATCTGGGTGTCCGGGCTCGAACATGTCTGTCAGGCGTCCCGGCGTGGCGATTAGTACATCGCAGCCCCTGCTTGGGAGAAGTTTGGCTATGGGCTCGACAACGACCAGGTCTGCCAGCCCCGGCAATCAAAGCAGGTGTCGAAAGGCGCATTGTAGATGATGCGAGGGAAGAAACAAAAGTGCTGCGTGTTCCATCCTGCAGAAATCTCTGCCCAATCCTCTTCAACAAAATCCTAGATGACCGGAAACCGAGTACATCTCCTCAACTGATCGACTCAGCATCGTCTCGGGCCCAGGCCCCTCGAGCTCACTCCTCTGTTCTCGCATGTCCGCACCGCCGTAGATGATGCAGCAACGGATCTGCAGTGGGACAAACCAAGTTGCAGGCTTGCCGGTTCCTGTGCTTCCGGCTACGAGTAGATTTCTTGTCTGACCTCTGCCTCAAGCCGGATGAGTTCTTGACAAGTCTGGGGCGGCCCGGCCGGGCAGCCAAGGTCTTCTGGGAGCTACCGAAAATTGCTGGCAGGGCCTTGCTAGGAAGATAAAGAAACCAGAACATTAAACCTAGCCTCTCGCCTGCCCCCCCCAACCACCACCTCAAAAAACAAAATAATACAATCAAGAACACTCGCAATATGTCTGGGATTGGCACCCCAGTGTCGAAGGCAAACTTCTTGCTCTCCTCGTGAATTTGCGATGCCAGCCTGAATGGGGCCATGGTGGAAGGCCATGCTTCTCTCATCAGTAGGGGCGGGCTACTGCACAAGAGAACAACGACACAACACTCATGCGCATCACCGTTGTTGTCATACACTTCGTCGTTAGATTATCATCGTCATCATCCTCATCCTCCCCTTTAGCCTCATCGTCATTTCAGTAATGATGCACTGGCTTTACTTGTAGGACATGGCAAAGAGGGACCGGAGAAAGCTCATTGTAGCAGGCCTCAGGCTGGTCGATTCTGGGGGCTAGTGGGTCAGGATGAAAAAATCTTCAACATGAAGGCTGTTTTTCTACTAGTAGTTACTAGTTACTAGTAGGTGGTTGGAGTGATCGGGAGTTGGTTTCGAGGTTTTGGGGGCCCGTAAACTCCAGAAGCGGCTCTAGGTACCCCTAAACCTTCCTACTGTACTATGTGAATCACTGTACTACTAGTGCTAGGAATTACTGTACTCATGGTTCTACTACTGTAAAGTAGCACTAGAATCACTAGAACCCCACACACTCTTCTGAAGAGCAAGCCTATCGCCCACCCAAGACCCGGGGAGTCTGCGGAGCACACCATTCCGGCCGCCAGGAGATGGCTGGGTGAGTTGGGGGGGGGGGGGGGGGGGCACTAAAGCCAGAGCAAGATTTCGTAGTGTTATCTTCCGAAAACAATCACGATCGTTCTTTTCGTTGCTACTCTCTGGAATCTTTCACAACCAGGATGGCTGAGGCCGCAGCTCGCGCGTTGGCGCCAGGCAAAGGCCACAAGGCGCTGGCTTCTGCCGGCCCCTGTTTCGTGCTTCAGGGCGGTTCTGTCATGAAGATTGGAGGTGCAGGGGGTCAGTAGTGAGTCGTGTTGAGCAGGCATGGTAAGGGTCAAAAGCACCAACCTCCGGGGCCATGCTTCTTGGTCGGAGGTATGGTCGAACCGCACCGTGAACAGCTCAAGTCAAGTCGAACTCTAAACCATGAGATGTTGAACCTCATCCAAACACCCTGAAAAAGGGGTGCAATGCAGACCCCCTTCCCGCTCCGAGTCTCCGATCTGCCTGCTGTTCTGCTGTGGTGGCCCAGACCGGAGCAGGGACTCGAGACAGGGCACCATGAAGGCGCAGGTCTTTCCTGCCGTCGAAAGGTTCAGGGAAGTTCGGTTTAAGACCGGCATTCGAGCATGGGCTCGCTTTGCAATTTCAGGACGGGCCTGGAAGATTGTAATTGCAGTTTCGGCACATGTTGCACCGCAGCATATATAGGAATCCTATGACTGGCTGAGGTTCCCGCTCCATGGAGCGAGAGCTGATGCAAGTCATGTGACCGTTTTCCTCCGCATGCTGCCGTAAAACTATATCCGGCCGATGCAGCAAACTAACACATTGCTTGGCCCCATAAGCCTTGCGGGCAGCTGCATGCCTGAAAACCTGGACACTGAACGCCGAAGGCCTGGAAGAGAACCCGCCTGTGTTTACACAACTCAGAACTCAAGCCCAAAGCTGAAGACTGAAATCCCAACAACCCAGTTTCGAAGTTTGGCACAGTGCTTTCGAACTGCAGCCCTTGAACTTGGGCCCGTATCTGGCCTGAGCCCGTCTGTGCGCAAGCCATGAGATCGCGCCCGGACAGCACAATGGGTATGGAATACTTCTGCACCTTGGTGGCTCCCTAGTTCATGTCTGCACAGGGATCCATGATGTTCAGCGTATGACCGGGACCAAAGCAAGAATCTGGGTTTGGGCTTTTGGCACTAGTCTTGGGGCTGACAGAGGCTCGTGCAGGGGTTGGGCGATCGTACCCACATCGCCGGAGGTTGTCGAAGAGGGAGTCCACCAGCTTTGCCTGACACGCAGCAAGCGCGCAAGAATCGGATCACCACCTAGTTTGGGCCCCTTTTCCACTGGCGGCAAGAATGCGAGAACTCAGTACCATGCACTTGAGTCCAAGCCAAGACAGCAGAGCAATTGGGAAGAATTCCAACTGAAGAGCCGACTTATATCAGTATTCAGTCTAGAGTGGGCACTGCCTTTTCCTTTCTTTCCGCGACAATTGCTGCATCGAAACGGCAGATTCACAGCGAAACGACCCTTCGAAGAAGCAGCAAGGACGACGAGGAGAGCCACAAGAGGAGGAAGAGGTAACCATCTTGATGGCGACCATCTTACAACTAAGTTAAAGTAAACTACAGGTGGGGAGTTTAGGGTATATAGGGCTTCGATAAGGCTTCTATAGGGTATATAGACCTTCTATACGGCTCCTATAACGGTAACTACCCACCTGAAAATGTCCTAGAAGAAGTTAGTTCACCTGTGCTATGAATGCACACCCAGTCAAGGCCTCTGAAAAACGGACGATGGGTTTCACGTCCGTGCTGTTCTCGCCCGAAACCTGGCGCAGGACTTCAGAGATCGACATGTCCTAAGACACCCCAAAACCCCAAAACCCCTAAAACCCTAAAACCCTAACCCCTCAAACTCCAAAGATTCCGGACTCTGTCTCCTCCAAACGCCCTCGAGCCGATGCCCAAAGCACCAAAGCACAGGGGCCCCTGTGAGCATCGGAATCTATGCATCTCCTGTATTATTATCCTACTATTATGGTATTATAGTTTGCCAGATATTTTCCAGTGGTCACTGATGCGAATAACTTTCGGAAAGTAGAAGGGGTGCGAAGCCAGAAACCTGAACTCGCCTTGGGTAATATTGGGAGCCGTTCCAATGCTCTCTGGTCCTGCTACTATCCACGATGCTCAACTTTGCAAAGCAGAGGGGCAGTTCTTTGTGTCAGGATCTCTTCGGGACTCTTATGCAAGTCCAAAATGCCATTGCAGGACCTCTAGCCGGGCCGCAAGACTACCAGACTTGCTGCGTTTCACTGCCAGTACTGTCATGAACAGTGTGATAAAGTAAGTCTGTCAAGCTCGCGCTAAGCCTTGGCCTCAGACCGCTGGCCTGGGATACTTAGCTTTAGATCTACCTGCAAGCTGAACCCGGGACCCGGTAAACACTGAGCCCGAAAGATCCTCCCCGAGCCTGCACCGGGATAGCATCGTATTTGTCAAAATCGATGCCGCTCGTCGAGCGGGTCTTCGGTGGCCCAAAGACCTGCATAATGCTGATCCTCAGGACTTCTCCTAAGCCTCTAGACCGAAGCATCCAGGGGACCGGGGATTGGGGTTTCGATTTCGGGCTTGAGGTGTGTAATGTATACGGCTTTGAGGTCAATTCAGGGTTTCATTGGCTCTAAGAGTTCGACGCCGGAGGTGGTCCACAGGGTCTTCCACAAGCTCAGGGTTTCACTGACATCCGAAAGGTGACTGGAGCTTCGGAGGTCGTTCTTACAGTTTCGGGAATCCCTATGAGTTTGGAGGCAAAGGCTCCGACAAATGATCCTAGGCACAACATGACCCCTAAACAACCGAATGAACCAAGGATCAAGCCCCGACCACTCCATAAACAGGCTGCAGCAGAAACTGCCAATTTGCAGGAGCTGCCAGGCAACCACAGGCCCAGAATCCTCGGATTGCTTCACCTTGCTCCCTAGTTGGAGCCGTCTGTAGATACAGATGTAGCATACGCTGGTTAGCTGCATGATCGCAAGAGTTGACTGCGTGTGGAATGGAAAAAATGCAACCCCAGGCCCTAAGACGAGCCAATTACCTCGAGCTCTGTCTGCTGCTCGTTGCGTTTGTTGCCGAAGCGCGTCGACCTCCCAAAAACTCTGCTAGTCGTGACAGCGGTCTTCAGAATAGTGAGACTGATGGGCACAAGCAGCATCATGAATATAAATATTATGACGATCGAAATAAGTAGCAGCAGCAGTAGCAGGAGTAGTCAGTTGTAGCAGTAGTAGCAGTAGCAGTAGCAAGAGTAGTAGTAGTAGTCGTCGTCGTCGTAGTAGTAGTAGTCGTCGTCGTCGTAGTAGTCGTCGTCGTCGTAGTAACTTAGTAGTGGTTGTTGTTGGCTCGGAGTAGTGGTAGCAGCAGTAGCAGATCAGCAGCAGCAGCAGCAGCAGCAGCAGCAGCAGCAGCAGCAGCAGCAGGACTAGTGTGTAGAACTGGCAGGAGCAGCGGCAGCAGCAGCAGCAGCAGCCGGAGGAGTAGTAGATGTAGTAGTAGTCGTCGTCGTCGTCGCCGTAGTAGTAGTAGCAGCAGCAGTATCAGTAGCGGTAGCAGTAAGAGTAGTAGTAGCAGCAGTAGAAGTAGTAGTGGCAGCAACAGAGGTGGTAGAAGCAGCTGCCGCCGCAGGAAGCCCAGGCCACCGCTGGCGGTGCAACTGTAGTTGCCGACAATCTTGCCATTGCAGTTGCTGTTGCAGTTGTAGTTGTAGCTGTTGCTGTTGTTGCCGTTGTTGCTGCTGCTGCTGCTGCTGTCTTAATTGCTGCTACTGTTTTAGTTGCTGCCACTGTCTTAGTTGCGGCTGCTGCTGCTGCCACTGTTGCTGCTGCCGCTGCCGCTGCTGCTGCCGGTGCCGGTGCTGGGTGTGGGTGCTGGTGCTGGTGCTGGTGGTGCTGGTGCTGGTGCTGCCTGCTTTTGCTGGTGCCGCTGGTGCTGGTGCCGGTGCTGGTGCTAGTGCTGCTGCTGGCCGCCGCTGGTGCAGCCGGTGCTGGTGCTGGTGCTGGTGCTGGTGCTGCCGGTGCCGGTGCCGGTGCTCGTGGTGGTGGTGGGCGTGGTCGTGGCAGTGGTAGTGGTGGCGGTGGTAACTACAACCAAAAGCACAATAACAACAAAAGACTAGATCAGACTCAGACTTCTTAGCCAAGAGAACCAAGCAAAAGCCTTGAAGCCTCGAGCTCACACTCCCAAGCTCCGAATCCTCATCCCTGAAACCCCAAACGGCACATGGTAAGCCCGTACAGTAGACTGTAACAACTCGATTCCTTCGGCTCCTTTCCGGTCTCATGAGGCCCACACCAGTCTCCGCCGGCGCCCTGCATTGAGAAGACAGTGCCTTGGCTGCCGTGTCACGCCTACATTGGTCTTGGACCATGGGTTGAGAAAGTGAGCTTTGGGCTTGTGGGGTTTTGAAAAGCTCCTATGCTGCAGGAAGTGGCTGTAGGCAACTCGGGAGTTCGCTGCGGCTTGGGACATTCGGAGACTGGGCGGAGCGGTTTGCTGGGCCACAAGGCTTCCTCCTCTCGAACCTGTAGGCTGGAAGAGAAAGACGTGAGGTATCATCCTGTAGGTGGAATATAGGTCGTATGTTTATTTCTAGCAGTGTGCGCTTGTGTAATGACTGTTTTGACTCTTCATGCGGGCTGCTGTTGAGTCATGAACCTTTTTGCCTTACAACTTAGTGCACGGTTCGAACAAACATTTCACCCACACCGCCTCCTTTCGGCGTCACCTGGAGCCCCGGCTTTTCTTCGAATCGCCGGCGCGATCGCTATACTCGGACCTGGCATTACACACTCGAAGGATTTGAGGAGACGAACTCTCCACATGTTTGGCCGCTGCGTGGGTGGGGATTTGCGTTCGTCACATGCAGTGGTGTGAATTTGGAGCTCCGGTGGGAGGCCTTGGGTGCTTGTAGGGGAGATCGTCAGAGATCGTCATAAGGGTTTTGCCAGTTCGGACAAGGTTCTGTGAACCACTGTTGGCGTCCAGGGGTTTTGGGTGTTCAGCGCTCCAGCTGGTGCAATGAGCATTGGATTGCATGTGGTACAGTCTTGCAGCAAAGGGCGGATCCTTGCTGCGATCGAGACATAACTTCAATCAAAATGAAAGATTAAAACGTCATGCGCAAAGAAGAATGACCGTGAACAGGGCTTCACCAGCCCAGTAAGATCGTGGCCCTGCCCTTGCAAGTCAAGAAGGAAAGCAGTTGCGTCTGGGAGCCACGCTCTCGTACCCCGAGCCGCCCATGATGCTTGAAGGCTTGAGGTCTAGACCAAAAAAAACTGCGTCCCAACAAACCCTGAAACTTCTCGCTGCTTTCTGGTTTGAGAATGCTCTGTCTTTCTGGTGTCATCCACGTGTGGCAAAGATCCATTTCGCACAAACATAACGAATCTGGGCTTGGCCGACTTCCCCGCACCCTTTCCACCGTCGCGGTCGAAGCCTCTCTTCAATCGTATGTGGGCGCAGAGGAGACAAAAAGGCTTGGGCTTTTGGTTCGGGGTCGGAGCTTCGGGAGCCAATACTGCTTGCCTCATTAACAGCCTAAAAGCTGGGCACGCAGTTGTTGAAATGAGGATGTGATGTCAGTGGCTGCTTCCTGCTTGGTCTGCTGGGCTGATGCCCTGGGTGAGTCGTCAGACTCCACAAAGGAAGGCCGACAAAAATGCATGTTCTTCATCCTGGCTAGCCCTTGCGTGCCATGCGTCGTAGTGACACTGCAATGTAGGTGTTAAGCATAGAGGTGCTGCGCCCCGAACACTTCTCCAAGCAACTGAACTACAGCGGTGCTTGAATGCCTGCAGAAAACGACCCCCTGCCAATCTTATAAGGCCCTTGCAAGGAAGCACTGCTACTTGGTCTTGCACTGGCACTGGCACTGGCAAAGTCATGGCTTAGGCTGTCTTCTGTATCCCGCACATGCGATCCGACAGAGAGCTTCATAGTGGCAAAATGACTCTTCTAACATAGACTCTTCATTCTGGCACGTCGCATGCTTACACCAAGACAGCAACTCAAACCCAAGAGCACTAAGGATGAGGCCACCGCCGTCCCGGCCATTCTTTCCTGAGTAGCCTGACACAAGCACCCTTTCGATGGCGCATCCGAGGCTTGTGACTGCGATGATGAATTGTTTTTATCTTTCTGTTTGCATGCTGCTTACCTGCCGCTGCTGTTGCTGCCGCGCCTAGTGCGGCAGCGGTCGGGTGGTAATTACCAATATCGGCCGCATCTGCCCTGCCATCTGTGGCAACCCCAGCCTAAGTCCAAGCCTGAGATTTAAGGTGTGGCAAACTCGTTCCATCTTCACGTCGAACAGATGAGGGCACGAAGTCGCAACAGCAACATCAGCACTTCCTTAATACAACGGGATGCAAGGGGCGGGTTCAGTGCATGACACTTCGTGATCTTCAGAAAGCTACAGCAGGGACAAGATCAACAATGAATGAGGCAGTGCCCTGCCTCCGCCACCCTTTCCACGCCTGCCAGCTGCAAACATGTCACATGGGCTGTACTGCGACGCGGTAAGGGGAGAGCGTGAACCAAAGGCCCAACCCGAAACACGTTCGTCCACGTGAGCAGGTTAGCAACACTGTCGCGCTTGAGACGCACGTGCAACTCGCATCAAAAACCCGCGTTCTCTGGCCGAGCTATGGGTTTATGTAAATCCCGAGTATGACCTTCTGGCAGGCCGTTCTAGATTCTCGTCGCTGTGAAGACTCTGGACGTCGAAGTGCCAGCCCTGAAAAACCCTAAATAAGCGCCGCAAAAGCAGGTTTGGCCCTGGCCTTGGGTTTTCGTCGGTTTTGGGGTGGCCTTTGGTCATTTTTTGTAATGCCGACCGAATTTGAAAACCGTTGGACGAAAAACCGCCTGAACCCATATGGGGGTTTCCAAGTAGGGGGGCCCGAATTTTTGGACCCTAATTAGTAGGATCCGATCCTACTATTTAGGGTATTTTTTGGGGGTCCCCTATTTTCAGAAAGCCCCATAGGATCATGGCAAAAGCAATTCTTCTGGCTAAGAGCCGAACCATTCTGATCGGCCATCAGTCTCCTGGGCACATCGGCTTCCCGACTTAGACAAAGCTCTTGAGGAACTTGACCCGGGTTTAGGGTTTAGGGTTATCGGATAAGGAAAGCGACAACAGAAGAACCGCCGATACCAACATCAAACTGTGCACATGCATGCAGATGTTGGCTGATTGCTGACTCATCGAACATGATACACCATACCATACTCTCCACCATATACCATTCCATGCACAATACCATACAGCTTACTATACACCATACCATGCACCATACCGTACTCACGACCGTATACCACACCATACTCTCGACCATACCATGAACCATGCCCTACAGCATACCGGATAGCAGACCATACAGTTCGTCATACCATACACACCATACAAAATACAAAATGCACCAAACACAATAAACCATAAGCCACACAACGTGCTAGCTAGACACGTGGACACATAGGTATACA